GGTCTGCTGACATGAAACAACTTGCAGGACTGAAGTTGACATTTTCAGAAGTAGCCATGGATTTGGGGAGCCCCAATTTTGGGGTGCCAAACCTGAGACCCCTGGGGACTGATTTCTACCCAAAATGCCAATTGAAATTGATGGGAGCTGTGGGTGCCCAGCACCCCAATAATCCTAGATGTCTCCAGTTGGGCACCCTACCATTGAAGCACCCCAAAAGAGGGGCAACTTTTGAAAACGGAGGCCTAAGGGACTTGCCCAAGGTCACATGGAGACATCAGTAGCAGAGCACAGAATAAACCTAGATCTTCTGGTTCCTGCTGTAGCCCTTTAACCACAAGACTTTCCTCTCCAGGGAGAGGCACCAAGAAACTCCTAAAATAGGCTGGATCTCTGCCAGATTCGACTCTAGTGCTAACCACTGCTAGATATGTAGGAACATCTGGGTCACAGACTGTGCTCCTGAGCAACAAGAATTTTGTTTTCATTCAAATATCCCTTGGAGAAGGGAGAAGGAAAATCAGGGGAGTGAAACAGAGACAAATATGCCAGTTCCCATAGTGTGCTTATTCGGAGAACCTGTTTCCTGAGCACAATACATATGTTCCAGGCCCGTATGTGTTGGGCGCCCTCTAGTGGTCCCAGAACACTAGCTCACAGTTACACTGATTTGCATCTGAATTCCTTCTGAAATCTCGGGACAGAGCCGGGCATTATGCAGAAGATTGTGGCCTGAAGCGAGGGGAGTGGCAGCAGGTCTGTTCTAATCAGAGTTGGATTTCGTCCTGATGTGCATCATTGCCGCAAACTACCCAGAACCCACTGCCTATTATTGCAGCGGTATTTGTAAGGATACACCACTGGTTTTCAGCTCAGTTCAAAGGGCCCAGCCAGCGTATCTCGCAGTATTTTCTAAAATAATATTTCTCTCTCTCTAATAAACACCTGGATGCTTGAAAATGACAGTGGATGTCCTTACTGTGCCTCTCTTAACCCCATCGCTAGCCCACAGGGGCATAGGGCGTTGGCCACTCTTGGATGCCAGGATGTTGGGCTAGATGGACCATTGGTTCTTATGTTCTATTGCTGGAGAGCTGCTGAGCTGAGGGCACTGGTTTCTTAGTGTAGGGTCACTCGGGAGCACAAGACTGAACATGCTGGTTTATTATTGTCAGGCATTGGGCTACGCACACACCAGAGTGGCCCGTTTCAGGCTCCGAGAAGGGGATGTAATGAGGCATGTGCAGAAGGGCAGAGAAATACAAAGGCGTGAAATGCCAACATAGAAGGGATGAAAGCCTCAAATCTCCTGGTCCTACCCTGAAATCCGCCCCAACCGGGCTCAGGTGGGACAAGGGAGACTCGTTGATTTCCAGACACGGCATAGGGTGTCACACCCCTGCCTGTGCAGAGGCTTACTCTGTTGGTTCCTTTCTCCTTCCTCCGCTCCCCAGGGCCTTTTCTTCAGGGGCGCCAGAAGCTCCCTGGACCCATTTCCCGGGGAGTGATATTCTGACTCTGGATGGAGCCTGGCTGAGCACGGCAGAGAATGAAGGCAGCAAGTCAGAGGCAGCCTGGTCCAACCGATTGAAGCCGAGAGAATGCGGAGCTAGACCTCAGGAGTTCCTAAGCCAAGCCCTGACGGTCTAGATAATACTTACTCCAGCCACGAGTGCAGGGGACTGGACTAGATGACCTCTTGAGGTCCCTTCCAGTCCAATGATTCTAGTCCAGTTCCCTGCACTGAGGCAGGACTAAGTAGTATTTAGACCAGTGGTTCTTAACCTGGGGTGCATGCACCCCCTGGGGTTGCAACATGCCAGATTTTTTTAGAAGGTAAATCATCGAAAACACAAATTAAGCACAGGCACGTACGTACAACTACTTTGTTTCATCCAACCAATGTATTTATTAACATTATGCATTTTTTAACAATTACTGTAATATACAAACAAAAAATATATCTAAGTTTAAGGGGGGTGAGAACATATTTTGAGAACCAAAGGGGTGCAGGCTGCAGTAAAGGTTAAGAACCACTGATCCAGACCATCCCTGACAGATGTTTGTCTTAAAAACCTCCATTGATGGAGATTCCACAACCTCCCTAGATAATCTGTCCCAGTGCTTAACTGCCCTGACAGTTCAGAAGCTTTTCTTAATGTCCAGCCTAGGCAAAACTTTCTTGTAGATCCCCAACAATCAACACTAGCCCCTTGGCTGCAGCTTCCCTTAGTGTCTATTTTAGGATCACGTGTGGGAAGAGATGAATTGAAAGTCAGCGAATGGACATTTTTATACATCTCCACGCAAAGCACTTACTCTGCTCACGTCTTTCTCCTTCCTCCTCTTCTTCAAGGGCTCTGGTGTCTCCTCAGAAATGTTTCCCAGTGCGGGAGGTTCTGACCCCAGAGCAAGACCAGCTGGGCTCTGCCGAGCCTGAAGAAAACAGGTTATTTCTCTTTAGAGCACCATGTCTCTCCTATGTCACATACAGTCCATGAGGTAAAAGTCTTATTACGCCCTCTCACACACACCCTTTCCCTTTATCAGATATTCAATAGCAATATGACGATCAATCAAACACTACACGTACAAGGATGCACAGCCAAGGTGACCGACTCCTGAGTGCTCCGTGGTAAATCAGGACACACTGCTGTCAACGAGAGTATTGTTTAAACGCAGACCATGGGCAGTCGGAGTAGCTCAGGAGGCTGGTGACGGGTTATGGATAAAGCTGGGTGGGAATTTTTTGAAGCAATGTTTTTTGGTCAGAAAACACCGATTCGTCAAAACCGACACTTTTCAGGGAACGGTATCGTTTTTGACAAAAATGTCACGGGGAAGGTTTTGCAGGTCCAGGATGGACTTTTTGGCCACAGAGACACATCAAAAGACCAGAACTGCCAACAGGTTAGGGCATTCAGGTGGGATGTGGGAGAGGCAGGAAGATCAGGGACTTAAACTTGCGCTATCTACACTGCAGGTGAGGGCCCAGCCTCTATCCTATTGCAGGCGGAATGACCCAAAGCCCATCTTTAAAGTCATGTTAGAAAGGTATGCGAATGGTAAAGGGGGCCATTCCTAGTAGATAGGTTAGAACTTTGAAATGCAAACCTATATTGTTAGAAGTGTCATCACTGGTTCTCCACTTGTAAGGTAACTCCCTTCTCTTCATGTGCCAGTATATTTATGCCTGTATCTGTAATTTTCACACCATGTATCTGAAGAAGTGGGTTTTTTACCCACGAAAGCTTATGCCCAAATAAATCGGTTCGTCTTTAAGGTGCCACCGGACTCCTCGTTGTTGTTGTGGATACAGACTAACAGGGCTACCCCTCTGATACTGACAAAGAGTCCTGTGGCACCTTCTAGACTAACAGACGTATTGGAGCATAAGCTCCTCTGATACTTGACACTAATTGTGTGTATCTTAGACGCTAGCCATGTAAACAGACAATTCCTGTCTGTCACTATAATTATTAATTCATAGATCAAAAGGGAATATTAACATTTAGATGAATCTTGGGTGAAGTAATGTCATTGTCTATATGTCTCTTGGAAGTTTGTGATAGACTGCCTAATGGATAAATTGCCCTATGTTCATTTGTGTAACTAATTACTGGTGGTGTTTAGAAAGCAAAAGGTTACATCAAAAGCCTCTTGTTTACCCAGCACTGCATGGTCAAGTGAATGCTAGGACACTGTGGGTCCTGATTCTGTCATCTCAGATCTACTTGAGGCTTCATACAAGGGAAGCGTAAGCCATAAGGACTGAGATCCCTGTCCTAAGCTGGAACACCCTGCAATGATATTGGACATTGGACTATAACCTATGAACTACTTCTGAAAGAACTTTTTGCAACTACAAAGCTCACCATCTCTGCTATGAATCTGAACCTTAAGAACTGAACTCATGTCTGTATATATATTGATCTTTTAACCATACTCTCTCTCTTTTCTTTTTTAATAAATTTTAGTTTAGTTAATAAGAATTGGCTGTAGTGTGTATTTGGGTAAGATCTGGAATATTCATTAACCTGGGCGATAATGTGTCTGATCCTTTGGGATTGGTAGAACCTTTTCTTTATATAATTTTCAGAAATCTTCATCATATTTGACTTAGGTACCTGGATGGAGGTTTGAGGCTGGTTTGCTTTAAGGGAACTGTGTTGTTGGGTTTTGGGCAACCAGTAAGGTAATAAAGAAGCTGTTTTATGCTGGCTTGGTAAATCTAAGTATCGGAATATCCACCAGCTTTGGGGTTTGTCTGCCCCATTCTTTGCAGTTCACCCTAATTGAGTAACCTTAGCTGGCCCCAACTGGGACCCCGGTCACACAAGGTAAGCTCAATTCCCAACAAACAGATATCTGCAAAGGACTGAATTTAAGCACAAAAAACCAAAGAGATTTCTTGGGACCCTATGTAAGCTTGGCAGTTCACCATCCGATCTGCGGGCTCCATTAGCCAGGCGGGGTTTCTGTTCATCTCAAAACCAGTCCTGTATCCACATGGCAGCTAGCACCCACTCTCAACGGAGGCCAAGAGAGGAGTGGGCACAGAGAATGAACTGCCCGCTCGGCACTAGAGCACTCAGGGCCGATCTCTCTTGGCGAGGATTGGGACAGTATTTGAAGCAGGGCATGTTTGCTGGTGCTGAAAAGGAGAATGTCCGTGTCTAGGGCTGCACCTCACTGCAAATCTGATTTAATTTTTAAAATCCCAGCACAGACCATGACCGGAATCTCTCTGTGGTGGTGGGTGACGGGTTTCCTGTAGGCTACACAGTCCTCAGTGGGTGCAATGGACTAAGTAGGCCCTTTGAGACTTCCAAGGGAGTGCTCTTGGGCCAACACTACATTGTCCCATGTTTGCCACTTAAAAATTCCCCTCGGTCAAGGGGCACAGTCGCTGAGGGGGAGGAATTAACTGGGGAAACAGTCTGAAGTTTATGACAAGGTTCATGCAGCTGATCCCAGCTTTAAGGCCCAAGCCTGGAGTCTCAGGAGTAGGGTGGGCTGGAACTCCCCTGGCAGAAAGAGAAGGGGAGTGGTCAGGGTCAGGGATACTTGAGATCCAAGACAGCAGGATGGCTGGGAAATGTAGTCTCTCTTGGCTGCCATGTTGTAGTCCCGGCTTGGGGCGTGGCATTCTGGGAAATAAGGAAATTATATAAACGTCACCCTCTCCACACATGAGGCCTTTAGAAGGAAGCAGGCTGTGAGGTTGGTGTCTCCAGAAAGCTATGGACAAGTAAGCCCATTTCCTTTGGTTGCTTGACCAATCCTTTCGCTTTATAACAGGGCTTTGAGATGGGCACCTCAATGAGCATCAGAAGCAATATTCAGAGAATCTGTGGGGACATTTTGGTCTCATTTGGGGTTAATGGGAAGATACCCTCAGACAGAGAATGTCTCTGTTTATAAATTCCACAGAAGCACCTTTGTTGGGTCTGACCTGGTGTATGAGATGCTCAACAACAAACAGGTCTAGCTTGGGCATACAAACCAAATATAAGCTGCTAAGCATGCAAGGGGATTTTCAAGGTTACCTCTTCATTCTCCCTTATCACTGACCCATCCACCTCTTGGCACTCAAGAGAGGTATTTTCAGCAGTATGTTGTCGCCCTGCAGTGGGCTCTTCTTGGCTAGTTTGTAGCCGGGTTGCATTCAGTGCTCTAGGGCGGCCTTCCCGTTTCTCAGCCTTCGGCTGTCTCTGACATGAGCACGTCTGGTTTACCATTACTTCCACCTCGGTGTAGTCACCAGGACTGATGGCTGTTGTCCCATCAACCAGAGGTTTCTTCTGACCTGTTACATCCTAACAAAACAGGGAAAGGGGGCTGAAGAGGCACAGCGGAAAGAAATATCTGTGTGTGACTAGAGGCTTCCTGCTAACTGGCGTCTTCCAAAGAGCTGCATTCACATGGGTCCATGGGCCTGGAACTAGGAGACCTGGATTCTATTCCCACCTTAGGTCTGTTGTGTGATCTTGTGTGAGTCACTTCAGTTCTCTGAACTGACGTTTCCCCATTCAGTGAGATGGGGATAATGCTACTCATCCACCTTTGCGAAGCGCTTTGATGTTGTGTGCCACAGAAGTGCTAATAATCCCATGCTGTGATCACTTTAATGCTATCTAGCTCGGATACCAACGTGGTATCTGAGTGATGATGATGATGATGGGCGATCACTCGTTACTGAGTATGATCATCTTCCATGGGAGTTATGGGTCCTCAGGTGGCTGATAAGGCCAATTCTTGAACCACAAGTTCTATTGGAATGAGGGCAGATGTTTTCAGGCTCAGCAGGAGGCAATTGACCATGATTGGAAGCCAATCTCTCCTTCCTTCTACGCCTCTTGTCCTCTTCAGCTTGTCGGCGAGCAAGTTCAAAATGCAGGGGACCATCACGTAGGACTTCACTCCATTTTAAGCGATCCTGGGCAAGTGTCTCCAGGAGATACTGGGTATCTGAGTACTTCACAACCTTTCATGCATTTATCTTACCTCTGCAGTGCTGGAAAATGCTATTAGCACCGATTTACAGATGAGGAACTGAAACAAAGGGAAGCTAAGGCCCAGATTTTTAAATGTATTTAGATGTTGCTTTGCCCAACATTTCAATGCCTAACTGACTTAGAAGCCTAAGTCCCATTGACTTTCAATGAGATTTAGGTTTCTAAATCAGTTAGGCACTGAGTGCAGCAATGCCTAAATACCTTTAAAAATCTGTTCCAAAGTGACTTGGCAAAGGCCATACCAGAAGTCTGTAGCAGAGCAGGAACTGAGTCTCCAGCTAGCATCGTAACCAATGGACCACCCTTCTGCCAGTCATTTTATGAAACAACCAACAACAAATGAAGACAAAGCCACTGGTATCTGGGTTTCAAATAGCAACACAGTTAGAAGCATCACTTCCTGCCACTGAGCTGCTCACGGGGTGGGGTGGGGAGGTACGCAGATAACGAGCTGCCGCTAACCTTTCACCCAGAGAAAATTAGAAAAGCCCCACAATGGATTCAGGTGTGACGTTGCACCCCATAATGCTTTATGGGACTATGCTTACGAATGTATATATGACATAACTGAGATATGCTTTATGCTGTATATGCCATGTAACATATCTATGTAAAGGTTATGATCTACTGAATGTACTCATCCTATTTGTACGCATGTGTCATTGTTGTATTCGAAGTTATGAATATTGACTGTACACTTGTTTGATTTTAAATAGCCTTAGTAAGGCATTTGGTCAGCTTCTTTAGAAAGGAATTTGCAAGTTAAGTGCCCAATCAAGAAACACTTAATGGGCAATGGATCTTGGAAGGCTCCAATCCACACAAGAAGTCTACTTGAGGACGTTCAAGGTAGCATGTGAACCATGGCTGCTACCTGTAAGTTTTGAGTCATGCATGGACATGTGACTTGCCCATGTGACTCCAAAACTCCATCTTGTAGCTGGGATTCTACACAGGGGGAGGGGAGGGTCTCCATCCACAAGGGAAAGTCTATTTAAGCGCCTGGGAGACCCCTCCATTTTGTCTTCGGCTGGCTCAAGAGATAGCCTCTCCACCCCAAGGATACCTGAAAGAAACTGGAACAAAGGACAGTAACTACAGGGGTGTGAGTGATTGCTGAACCCAGACTACAAGGAGACTAGTCTGTAAAAGGAAGCTTACTGGAACACCTCTGAGGGTGAGGTTTTATCTGTATTCAGTTTTCTTACTTTATTAGGCATAGGCTTGCATGTTTTATTTTATTTTGCTTGGTAATTCACTTTGTTCTGTCTGTTACTACTTGGAACCACTTAAATCCTACTTTCTGTATTTAATAAAATCACTTTTTACTTATTATTTAACCCTGAGTATGTATTAATACCTTTGGGGGGGGGAGCAAACAGTTGTGCATATCTCTCTATCAGTGTTATAGAGGGCGAACAATTGATGAGTTTACCCTGTATAAGCTTTATACAGGGTAAAACAGATTTATTTGGGGTTTGGACCCCATTGGGAGTTGGGCATCTGAGTGTTAAAGACAGGAACACTTCTTAAACTGCTTTCAGTTAAGCTTGCAGTTTGTAGGACGTGATTCAGACCTGGGTCTGTGTTTGTGGCTGGCAAGCATGTCTGGCACAACCAGGCAGGGCTCTGGAGTCCCAAGCTAGCAGGGAAAGCAGGGGCAGAAGTAGTCTTGGCACATCGGTTGGCAGCCCCAAGGGGGTTTCTGTGATCCAAACCGTCACATCAGGAAACGGCAACACCAAAGGATGAAATGTACCAGTGTTCTCTGCATTCAGCCAAACTCTGCTTCCAATGAAGTCAAGTAGATTTGTACCATTGACTTCAGAGGGAAAAAAGTTAGACCAACACTAGGCTCTTTTGAAAATACTAGTCAAATGGAGAAACAGATGCTAACCGCTGACTTTATCTTTGGAAGGTGTTCGGATTACCACGGGTGATGGGCACTGTGCAAGAACATGAATATAGCCTAGAGGAGACAGCCTAGTAACGGCTAAGTAACCTAGGAGCTACCCATTAACCCCAAATGCGAAGAATGAATCCTACTAAACCGCCTCAACTTATTGTTACCTTAGTAGATTGTCCTACAGCTGCTGGAACTGTAAGCTGATGCCCGACATCAATACTCAGGTCTTCTTCAGTGACTGCTATACTGGTAAGAGGGTCGCTAGAAAAATCATACTTCAACGAAGCCTGTAAATCCCAAGAAAAGTGGTTAGACCCAGTTGAGCGATCTTAGCATGGGCTCCCAGTGGGTCAGACGAGACCGTGAGCCTTTCCAGGTAGATTTAATTGAGTTCCGTGAGACCAGCTGTTTGAAGGTCTTGCAGACGAAGCCTGTCCGCTCTCTGTGGTGAGCGCCTGCTACTCTTGAGGACTGTAGAGATTAGCTCCAGCACCACTGGCCAAATTTTCCCCTCTTACCATAGCTGTGCGCCAGCTGATTGCCACTCTCCCTCCCCAGAGGTGGCTGCATTTCAATGGGGCCGAATGGGTGCAGTAGGGATGGGGCCACCAGGTCACAAAGGGTCTGTCTACACAGTCCGCAGCAGCAAGCCCCAGAGCCCAGATCTACAGACTCGGGCTCCAGCACTAAAAACAGCGGTGTAGACGCCCATCCCCCTCCCTAGGCTTCAGAGCCCAAGATCCAGCCCAAGCCTGAATACCTACACGGCTGTTCTTAGTGCTGGTAGCGCGAGCCTTGCGAGCTGGAGTCTGCAGACCGGGGCTCTGAGACCTGCTGCCGCTTGCTGTGTAGACAAAACCAAAATCTGCACAACAATTTCAAACACCCCTGGGGTTTTTCACATCCAGGCTTTGCATTCGCTTGTCAAGAGAAGGGCCATCTGGACCTGGGTTCAGATTTCAAACACCCCACGTTTCCGGGATGTTTGGCTCTGATGGTTTGGTTCCAGGCCATTTGCAGCAGATGGCTGCCCAAAGCACTCTGGGATTTTTTAAGGTGAAAAGCCCCGTGAGTCGGTTAAAATGTTGTTGTCCCTTTGGCCCAAGCAATCAGCCAATATTCAGGGCCTGGCTGGGTTGTTTCTGTTAGGGGCAGAAACTGATTATGCGAGCCAGATATATTCTTTGGAGTGATCCTGTTTATATGTAAAGAATGTAGAAAAAGTCCGGTTTCCTTGAACACCGTGAAACAAACAACAGCGGGTAGTTTCCTTGCTCACAGTTTCCAATCCTGCCTTTCCAGCCAGTCCTGTGCCCCCAGGATCTCTGTCTCTGGTCCCTGTGACAGCTGTGTCCATGACAGCTGCTCTCATTTTCTGCTGGCTTTCTACTTCTAACCTACACAAACAGCTTGCCAAGCAATCCTCTAGTCCCTGGATTTGCAACCAGTCCTAGGGAACCCTCTCAGCCCACATGGCTTAGCCCTGCTCAGGTTTTGCCAGGTGTCTGATTGCCTTGGGCGATATCTTCTATTGTCTCCAATTATCTCACTCCATAAAGTAGCTTACTTGCTCCTTTCATTTAGCCTGAAGGGTGGTTACCTCACCTGTAGGCTTTAACAAGATCAAAGACCCACTTGATGGCAGCCATTAACACGTTCCAACATAATATGATGGCATAACAGTATTAGCTACTACAAATCACCATAATCTGCATGATAATAAACTGTCCTCCTGCAGCTCCCAGCTACCAATGCTTCCAGCAGCCCCACTCTTGCAATGATAACACCGCAGGGGAGGGGAAGGGAAGGGAAAGAAGATCTTGATATTGAAACCACAGGACTTGGCGTCAATGAGAACGGGCTCTATTCCTGGCTCTGCCAATGACTTTCTCTGGAGCCCCGAACAAGCCATTTCTCGGTGCCTCCATTTCCCCCTGCTCTCCTCCCCTTCTTCTCTCTGATGCCGCGGAAGTTCAGGAGGATGAATACTCACAGCATAGTTCGTAGCTTGCGTAGATCCCTCCTTTTTCTTGGCAGGCTTGCCTTTCCCGGAGCTGGCTCGCCCCTGGATCAGCGCTTCAAGCCCATCCCTCAGGAGCAGATCGGTCAGTTCCTTCAGCAGCGCCAGCTGCAACAGCACATCAACAATCAATGATCAAACAATGACCACCTCTCTCCCTGTCCCCCGCTGCTCCCCAAGGTAACTGAGAAAGGCAGAACCCACACAACGTGAGAGTAGGATACACATGCACTCAGGGGCGTTGCCTGGCACATGGACAGACAGACGCCTGCAGATCTCCAGGAAGTGCCAGTACCCCGTGGAACTGCCTTCTGGTGAAAGGTCCCAGAATTACCAGCACGGGAGACTTTCACCACAAGTGTGTGTACCACTTCTATGCTCACCAATCTCTCCCGAGGTCATTCTGGACACTGATTAGTTGTGCTCTACCTCTGCTGTGGAGGGAGGTGGGGCCAGTGGCTGGGACTCGGAAAAGCCAAGATTAATTCCCTTCTGTGCTACAGACTCCGTCTATGACCTAGGCACAGCTCATCAAAAGTACTTAGGCACCTAACTCCCATTGATTTCAACAGGAGTCAGGAGCCTCAGTACACGGAGGATCTGGTCTCTCTGTGCCTCAGTTTCCCCTCTGTGCGATGGGGATACAGCACTGGATAAAGGCATTCCAGACAGTGAGATGCCCAGACACTATGGAAATGGGGGGGGGGGGTTTGTCTCTAGGTGACATTAGCTATTTAAGAGGGACTGGCCATCAGGGCTAGTGCCCCTGTGCCTCATCCGCAAACTGCAGTTCAGAGGGTGGGCAGCACCGCCCCTCCCCCCCCGAGGCCCTGCCCTCGCACCACCCTTCCCCCGAGGCCCCACTTCCTTGCTGTTTCCTTCCACGCTCCCTATTCGCTCCTCTCCACCCCCTCCACCCTGTCGCATGCCCTTACAGCTCTTAAAAGTGATGGCCCCATAGCCCCCCTCTTCGGGTGCCCCGGTCAGGGAGAGGCCCTGGGAGGGGAAGGCTGGAGAAATCAGGAAAGGGCGAACTAGGGTGACCAGACGTCCCATTTTTAAAGGGACAGTCCTGTATTTAAACCCTCCTGCAGGTGTCCCGACTTTTTCTTTAAAACGGGCAAATTGTCCCGTATTTCCTGTCTCCCATCCAGCAGTACTGGCGGGTCCTGCTGCTGGCTGGATCCCTGCTCGCCAGCCTCCCGCCCACCAGCGGTGAGTGTGAGGGGGGGTCCAGTGGCCAACGATGGGGGTGGTAGGGTTGCCAACCCTCCCGGATTGACCAGGAGTCTCCCGGAATCGGCCTCAATCTCCTGGTTGCTATTGAAAGCAATGCTGGAGATTTTAACAGGCCAAAAGTCTGGTTGACGGGGGCAGTGCAGCGGGGCTAAGGCAGGCTCCCTACCTGCCCTGGCTCCGCATGGCTCCTGGAAGCAGCGGTATGTCCCTATGGCTCCTAGGTGCAGGCAAGAGCGGCCAGGGAGTCTCTGCAGGCTGCCTCCGCCCCAAGCGCCGACTCCGCAGCTCCCATTGGTGAGGAACCGCGGCCAATGGGAGCTGCAGGGGTGGCAGCATGCACCGCACAGAGCCATCTGGCCGTCCCTGCCTGTGCCTAGGAGCCGCAGGGACATGCCACCTTCGGGAGCCACTGGAGGTAAGCGCCACCCAGAGCCCCCACCCCCTCCCATGCCCCAACCCCCTATCACAGCCCGGAGCTCCCTCCTGCACCCAAACTGCCTCCCAGAGCCCACAGCCTGCACCCCAACCCCCTGCCCCAGCCCTGAGCCCCCTCCTGCACCCAAATTTCATGTCAAAGCCTGCACCCCCCACCGCAACCCCCAGCCCTGAGCCCCCTCCCACATCCAAATTCCCTCTTAGAGCCTACACCCCAAGCTCCTGCCTGAGCCCTGAGCCCCCTTCTGCACCCAAACTCCCTCCCAGAGCCAGAATCCCCTCCTGCACCCCAACCCTCTGCCCCAGACCGGAGCTCCCTCCCACACTACGAACCCATCGGCCCCACCCCCAAGCCCAGAGCTCACACCCCAGCCCCCTGCCCCAGCTCAGTGAAAGTGAGTGAGGGTGGGGGAAAGCGAGTGATGGAGGGAGGAGGGATGGAGTGTGTGGGGGCAGGGCCTCGGAGAAGGGGAGGGGCAGGGGCATGGCCAGGGCCGGCTCCAGGGTTTTTGCCGCCCCAAGCATCCCTCCCCCCAAAAAAAGCCGCGATCGCGATCTGCAGCACTTCGGTGGCAATTCGGCGGGAGGTCCTTCACTCCGAGCGGGAGTGAGGGACCCTCCGCCGAATTGCCGCCGAACAGCTGGACGTGCCGCCCCCCTCCGGAGTGGCCGCCCCAAGCACCTGCTTGCTAAGCTGGTGCCTGGAGCCGGCCCTGGGCATGGCCTAGGGGCAGGGGCAGGGCAAGGGTGTTTGGGTTTGTGTGATTAGACAGTCGACAACCCTAGAGGGTGGCCGTGCAAGGCTGGTGGCAGGGTGAAGATGCAGTGCACGGGGCCGGCTGCTCCTCCTGCTGCTCCGTCAGCACAGCCCCCCGCTGCATACCAGCTCACGGCCAGCTGGGCCCCACCCCCTGTCCCATTTCCATCTGGAACTGGCTGCGAGCCAGCAGCGGGCCAAACACTCAGAAAGAAAGTAAAACATTCACATACCTTGATCCCATAGGCTTCAAAAAGTCTCTCCAGATCCTGAATTAGGAATGAAGGGTGTTAGCCAATGAACATATGTTGGGCGTAGCATACACCACATGAATAGATATTATGTGCATGGATAGAATATACATTTAAAAAGAAAAGAAAAGGAAAGAAAGAAAGAAGTGTTGGGAAGTTATGTTAACTGAATTCTGTTCACCCCTGTCAATTATCCCACAACACTTTGCAAAGCTGAAGTCAGCGTTGGCACTAGAAAATAGAAAACTTGCCAATGGCAAACCACGTTAATGTTCTGCCCTGGTACGAGCTGGGGAGGTACCGTCCTGGACCAGTACCTGGAAAGCTAGTCTCCAAGATAAGGAAGGTACAGAACAACAAGTTAAGAAACTGCTATGAACTGGTGGGTTGAATTCTAGTGATGTGCAAAGAGGTTTGTAACTTGCGAAATCATCCTATAAATGCTCCTAGCTGAAATGTGTCACTCTGGAAGCAAGCCTTCTGTGTAAGGTGAATTCAGCCACGCTGCACGAGACGGCATCCTGGAAGCTGGTATCATGTTGAACCTTTTTTCCTGTACTACATGATTAGTGTCTTTTAGCAATAAACCGGACTGATATTGGTTATTTAGTCTCTTGAGTATATTTCATAACAAACCAAAGTGCGGTCAAGCAATTGACTATACAATTTACCACCAAGGGAAATAACATTAACTCAAGTATAACCTCCATAGATGAGCAGTGATAAGCCCCTAGATACTGATGGCCAGATTCTGCTCTCATTGAAGTCAATGGAAGCTTTGCCATTGGCTTGGACAGGCGTAACATCGGACCTTGCATCATGGGAATAGGGTAGGTGCAGAGTTTTACATGTGTGGGCCGATCGGCTCTTTCAGCAGCGAATGTCCCACTGGGTTCTCATTAACAGGCCACAATGATTAGATACATAATGTGGTTAGCAAGAAACAACACTTCCCAAAGTAGGGAACCCTACATTCCTCCTCCCTGTCACCTACGTGAAAATGCTGTGTGAGAGGAGCTCGTGTCCTTGGGCAGCTGGGCCAGGAGACCGCTCTTAGATACTATGATAATAGGCAGCACTGGAAAGAAACCGACTGGTAGAGACATCCAGTACTCAGCGTTAGGTGAAAACCTCGATGGAGATTAATGATAATTAATCATGTTTATTATGGTGGTGCCTAAAGGCCAACCAAGAATGGAGTCCCATTCTGCTAGGTGCTGTACAAACATGTGCCTTGCATTGTGCCCTGATGGATCCCTGTTGGGAGCAAATGCCAGAGCCCTACTGGGAACGCCCTACCCCAGACCCAGGGCCGTAATCCCGGGAGGCTGAAAACCTAAGCATCCCATTGTTTGCAACTTCTGCAGTGGCACCAATGGGTGGAAGGTGATCTCTGAGATACAGTAACCAGGTACTTTGAGAGTATTTAGGGCTTCACAGACCATGGCCAAGCCTTCGATTTGCACCTGGATGTCCACTGGTTCAGAACTGAGACGGAAGCACAGGTGTGATGTGCTCTTGTCTGTCTACCCTAGCTAGAAGGTAGATGTTCTGCACAAATGTAAGCTTCCAGCTGACTCTCCAGGGTAGCCCCAAGTGATGCAACAATTGCTTAGCTGAGAGTTGACCGACGCGCATCCGATGAGGGTGAAATCAGCATCCCCAGAGTAAAGGTTGGAATCTGATGGCCACAGAGGCAATAAAGCATTTCTAGCCTTTGCTATGCCTGAGAATCCAACAGATCCTAACCAGTGACCCCCATTCTGTGTTCCAGACTGCTCAGTGGAGCTGTAGGGCAGGGATCCACATTCATAGCTGCCCGTTAGTTCATACAAAATTTCACAAGGGATCTCTCTACAGAGCTGCAGCAGTGACCCACACAGCACCCATCCTGGTTAATGTCTCTAACCTGGATCCTACCGGAAGGCCAAACGATTTGATCTTACTGCAGCAATGGGGTAAGATTTATGACTAGCTCCTCAGCGTCTTGTTCTACACTGGCTTTCTTAGGATTTCGTCTCTGAATCCTAGCACCTGGGGGCGGGGCTCAGAGACCCAGGGACAGAGAAACACAGTGAGAGAAACAGGGATGGAGAGACAGCGTATCAATATTATAATTTTCCACATGTTTTTATTTACCTTGATCTCCACTCCTTTGCCGGGTGGACCAGGATCTCCCTTTAAAAACAAACAAACAATAGCTGGTTAACAAAAGCATTAGCCCAAAGAAATGCAGTGACAGGTGTCTGGAGCAGAGGTTTGGCAGTCAGGTTTCCTGGGTTCTAGTCCTGACTCTGCCAGAGACTTGTTGTCTGACCATGGGCAAGTTACTTAAAATATGCCTACACTTCGAGCTGGTAGCGTGATTCCTAGCTCAGAGCGACATACTGCTGCCGTGGCTATTTTTAGCATGCTAGCTCAATCAGAGCTGGCACGGGTATGTCTTCTTGAGATGGAAATCACACCCCCAGCTTGAAGTGTCAACATGCCCTTCGTTTCAATGCCCCGATCTGTAAAAGTGGGGCAATGACTTAACTACCTCGCAGTGGGGATGAGAGGCTCCAATTAATGTTTGTAAAGGTCTTTGAAATCCTCCAATGAACTTGGCAGCTAGTCCCCTTTCACTAGGCCCCACCTGAACCAGAGCCTCAGACATGAATACCTTTCAACTTGACGGAAGCTTGGATTCATGTCAGAACTTTGGGCTGATCCGCAGGTGTTGGGTTCACTAGAGCATACACCTCAGACAGCGAAACCTTTGGATGATCAGCCAGTTCCACACTGCGCTTTGCCTAATTCAATCTGTGATACGGTGTGTGAGCGATATTGGGATAACTGGGCCTACAAAGTTACCCGAACGGTGAGCTCCACAGTAAGTAGGTCCATCAGATGTCACAATAACGTATAACTACAAATGTTGATGGGAAAAGGGTTGAAAGGGAGACAGAATGAATTCGTCCAAACAAAAAGTCCTGATATAACTCAAAGGCTGTGGTAAGAGCATGCCTGGTACACCAGTAAATGTGGGACCAGAAATTAATGAACCAATAAAGAGGGAGTGGGCTATTCCACCCATCACTCCCTTTTGTGGTCCTTAAAAGAAGAGACTTAGGGACAGGACCGGCTCCAGGGTTTTTGCCTCCCCAAGTGGCGGGGAAAAAAAAAAAAGACGCGATCACAATTGCGATCGGCGGCACCCCGGCGGCAGCTCCACCGCGCCGCTTTCTTCTTCAGCGGGAATTTGGCGGCAGGTGCTTCCCTCCGAGACGGACCCGCTGCCGAATTGCCGCCGAACAGCCCGACGTGCCGCCCCTTCCCCTTGGCCGCCCCAAGCACCTGCTTGCTGGGCTGGTGCCTGGAGACGGCCCTGCTTAGGGAGGGAAATTGGCCACTGGTCCTAGCTTCACCATCATGGCTGCCACCCCCACCACCTCCTGGGACCCCAGAACCTCTTCATCCTAATCCTGAGAGATGTCCTGACCAGACCAGGCCAGGGAGAGGGACCCAGATGACATCGCCACCTTTGCTGGCTACAGCTGGATCCCAACCGCCACCCGAGATGAAACAGGATCGGGCTTTAACAGCAGCAGCAGCTCCAGCCTATCTCAACTGACTTCCTCTCTTTTCCCCCAAAAGGACAGTTATCGCCAGCTCTGATTCCACCTAAGAGACTGTCGGAAAAGGGGGTTTTCCTTCTAAAATCTCTCTCCTCCTCAAGGCAACGGGAACAAGGGAGGTTGTTCAAATGAAAGCTTCATTCAATACTTCACATTTCAAATGCTTTGACTGTTCTTCCTTCTTTTCTTAATCTTTCATAAAGGTGAAAAGGATTGTGAATGGCGTGTTTGCCATCGTCCTAAGCAGGCTGAGGTCTCTGTACACCAAATGCCGAACCTTAGTGCTGTTTAATGTTGGACAGCGACTGAGCTATGTAAATACTTTTAGGTCCATTTATTCCATCTAAATTAATACAACAGCACAAGAAATTTTTCCTGGTACCTGAGCAAGTCAAACAATCATTATTTGCCCAGTTTTATTAGCATGAGCACTATTACCGTGATATCAAACAAAAGGCTGATACCTGCTGTATTCCTGCTCTACAGACCATCCTTGCTGTTGTGTATAAATCTAGAAAAACACCTGAGTGATTCGCTGTAGCTAGTGGCTTAGAAAGACACTTGGAGACAGGACACCTCGGTTCTCTTTTTAACTCCGCCACTGATTCATTGTTTGATCACACCCAGGTCCTTTAGACCAACATTTTCAAACCTGGCCCCATTTTCCCAGGAGCCAAGCATCCACAGACCCCCACTGAAGACTTTTTTCAGATCAGAGCCACATTTTCATCGCTCTATGCCTCAGTTTCTCCCAGGTGTGAAATTGGTGTTCCAATGACATCAGTGGCAGTTTGGCACATGGAGCAAGTGCAGGACACGTGACAAATTCAGAGCAGAGGATTTTACCAATGACAGGCAGATGAGGCCCAGGTCCAACCCACTCAGGCTATGTCTACACTGCAAGCGAGGGGTGCGATTTCCTTGTTCGTGCACATGTATTCGCACTAGTGCTCATCGAGTTAGTGCGAGTATAAATAGCAGCGTTGCCACCGTAGCACGGGTAATGGCAGCGGAGATCCAGCTGCCTCCACCAGTTTCAGGCAGGGAAATCACATCCCAGCTCATAGTGTAGACGTAGCCCGATAGTATCAATGTTCCTCCCCCGGAGGATGAAAGTGTGTCATGTCCCCTGCGCAGACGTGAAAGAACCAAGGGATGCAGGACATAACCTATTCAATGCTAGGACCTTTGCCAATGCAATGCTAGTGCTGCCCAGTTAGATTCGCAGGAGTCAGGCACTGTGAAAGTCAGAGCTCCAACAGGAACATTACAGCAGCTCAGGATCATCCCAAACACCCATTGACTAAGCCTCCCAAGACCAATGGTAAGTGGGGATGGTAACGATCGTCCTTCGCATTTCACTCTTGGGGGTAAATTGAGTCACGCTAACGGTCAGAGCCAGGATTAGAACCCAGATCTCGTCACTCCAAGTCTCATCCTGGGACCATGCCATCTCTCCTTTAGAAAAACAGGTTTAATTAGAAAAAACAATCCTAGGAAATATGGCGTGTGTGCAGTGCAGACGAGTTAACGTTGCAACAGGAGCCTTGAACTTTGCAGCCACCTTAACACTGAATCGGCAGCGTGGCAGCACAATGTCTGGACATGGGGCTAAGAGCCCAATATGAGCTTTTGGTCACCATTCTCTCCAAGGGCGCGAAGGTGAGGGGTTGAATTCCATGTGTGATGGGCTTCATTACACTGAAATCTGGTTTCTGCCTCTACAGATTCCGGTGGAATGAAGGGCACCAGCAAGCAATGGACTGGGGTGGCCTCCACCACTCAACACGTTTTGCACAGGAGAGAAAATAATCCAAGAGGCTCCAGAGACCACCCAGCTGGTTACACCACTCCAAGAAAGTATTGGCTTGAGAGCTAGGAGACCTGGGTAATCATGTGACTTGGGCACTTCCCTTCGCCAATCGGCGCCCCCATATTTCCACCCCGGGGCTCAGCATATTTACCTCCCGAATGTTGGCAAAGAGTTATATCAATGCCGAGAATTAAGGCCAGCCATTAGCAGAGGTGGGGAAAGAATGGAGGAGCACTTGGACTCTGGCCTTTTGCTTAACCCACTAGGCCATGACGGGTTTGCCCTGGCGTACACCTACACCATTCCTCCTGCTCTTTAAAGAGTCTCCAGTGTGATTCTATTGACAGAAAATGGCTGTTAAGTTCACGTGTCTTCAGATTCCAGATACATTCCCCCCCCCCCGCCACACACACACACACACACACAGCAATTAGACTCTAGCTCCAATCGTCTTGACTCTACAATTTCCAAGCACCGCCTAGAGCACGGCGCCTAGAGTTTTTTCCCCTTTAGTGTCTCAACCACGGCCTAAATAAAGTACCTGACAGCGTGGTGTGCTCTACAGCGTTTTTAACTGCAGTTTCCCTTTGGGAAGACCTGCATGACTCACTCCTAGTCCAGCGACGTGGCAGCAAGGTGAACGTCCCGAACACACACCTCCCGGCACAGTGCCGCTGTGTATGCTCTGTCCATGGATGGGCGTGAATATATTTTTGTGCCAATCAGTGGCACATTTCTATGTACAAATAATTCGTTTTTCCATTTTGAGCAAACAACTCTCCCGCAGACAGGGCCATGGTTCCCTTGATGAGGATGATCTGTATTACAGAAGTGTCAAGGGCAAGCCCCCTCACAACTCTCCCATTGCGCTAGCACAGTACAAACAAATACAAAACACAGTCCTTTCCCTAAAGAATTCACAATCTAGCATTATGACATTAGAAGCTGTTACCTTTTCCCCTTTTGTCCCCTTTTCTGACATGTTATCCAGCTTGGAGAGGGCGAGAAAAAGGCATGAAAACATTACTGAATGTTTCAGGAACGGATACACCAGAATGTAACAGCCATGGTTAAGAAGTAGAACCTGAAACTTACTAGATTAGTTAACGCGCTTCAACAAGGATAAATATGGTACAGAATGTGGTATTCGCTATCTATCTATTTAGTAGTATTCTAAAACCATGGTTTATAAAGAGATCATTTAAGTAATGTTGATTATATGTAGAAAACAAGGCTAGGAAAGTAACATACCGGAGTCCCACCTGCAGGCCCTGGGAGACCATCCGGCCCCTTAAAATACAAAATAAAGGTAGGTTTGACCTCATGGTTCCAAAGGGATATTATCTCCCCAACTAAAATATGACAGTAAGGAGTTATTTCTGAAAGCTGCCATGGCCCCTATTCCCGAGGACCAAAGCGTAGGTCCCCCCCGCATTGCTGGTCCCAAGCTGGTTATCATTCAGGCTATGAAAGAGTTCCCGCTAAACGGCCTGGCGCTGACAGAATCTAGGTGCAGTGGGCTGGCGCTTCCCAGCTGTCCAGCAGAAATGGGATGTGTGAATGAAGAGTTTTGCGCAGTTTGGAGCCAGGTGGACACCAAAGTTCTATTCCATTTCCAGCGGAGTGGCCCAGTATTTATATTTGGGGGTCGTCAGGTTGGATGATGATGATTCTTTATGAACTCTATTGTGGTAGCAGATGAATGTGTATGTTAAACGCTAAAAGCACCAGGTTGCCCCAAGCAGCAGATCCCATGGTCAGGTGGCAAAGTAAAGATCCACCATACAAGCCCGTGCTCCTGCAAAGGCCTAGGCAGTCGGTAACTTTATGCATGCAGATAGCCCCTTTGATCTCTATCGGACTCCTCAGCTGCATGAAGTTAGGCAGGTGCAGAAATCTTGGCATGATCCAGGCCCGGATGTGGCCATGAGTTTAACAGCTCAGCTCAAAAGCTCTCGCTGTTTAAATCCAACCTTTTGGGGCCAAGCACATGAGAGATCTGACCCAATTGTCCGTCCACCTGCAAGCCCAACAAAAACACTCACCCGCAGACTCCCACACTTACCCTGGGACCTGGAGGGCCTCTCTCTCCTTTCAGGCCTGTTTCCCCTGGATCTCCCTGTAACCCAGCAGGAATGGGTTAGCTCTCTCTCTTTGGCACTGCAACATGACTGATAAAGCAATGCAGGTATCTGGGGAGAGCTTTCGTTTAATGCTTTGTCGTTAGCCAAATGGAACAAACTCTTAGGACTGTTACTTAAGACTCTTGTTCTCCCGGGGTCCCTCCAGAACCACTCTTTCCTAGCCCGCAAGGAAACAACCACTACTACAAATGCACAGCAAATGTTAGCATGAAACTGATGCTGTGGCAGGTCCACTCTCTTGATGGCCAAGTTGCCTCTCCCTGTCCCCTGCTGCACAGAGGGTGAAGATACCAGAAAATGAGGACGAGTCACAATTTTTGCTAAACCCTGTGATTTCAAGTCATATTTTTTCTCCACTCAGTTGGGAGGCGTTCCTTGGCAAAATGGCTGCTCTGGATAACGCCTGACCCAACCTCTCTTCCCGCGTACGTCAGATCAGATGCTGCATGTGGTGATGTGGGTGGTGCATGAAAGGGGCTGGATTCTTTGCGGTTTGTTTCTCTGAGCGGAGGAATGGTACAGAAGAATGGCGTGAAGCAAAGAACACATGGTGTTCCACGTCTCTCAGCCACTACTTTGGTATCTTCTGAAGGGTGCTGCTCTCTGAACTCTGCGCTCCCCTACTCTTAGGTACTGTATTCAATTTCCTTTTTTTTTTTACCCAAACACCCCATATGGGTGGAATCCCTCCCTGCTGATCTTTATTACAGACCATCCATGCACCTTGCATCCATCATCCTGTGATCAATTGTCTGAGTGCACTGCACTAATCCTTGAAAGGTGCTAATCAAAACACACCTGGATATGGCTCTCTTACCCTAGACAAAGATGCAAAGCAGTGAATTGCTTGCCAGCGCTGGCATAAACAAACAAGTGATTTTTCTCCCCCTTTAATGAGAAGCCAGTTGCCTTCGCCCCAATTCAGCAAAGTGCTCAAGCATGTGCTTAACTTTAAGCATGTAAATGATCCTATCCCCATTTGGCAAAGCACTTAGGGCAATGGGAGTTAGGCACCTAAATACCCTTAAAAATCTGGCCCTTAAGCACATGCTTAATTCCAAGTACCTGCCCGAGTCCCATTGACTTCAATGAATGTTTTGCTGAATCAGGGCTTGAGTGTTTATTCCTGTCTGCCCTGCAGAACCCACACAGCTCTGGAAAGAGAGTTGGAGTCCATTCTGCCTCTTGCGCCCTCAACAACATTGTCAGCTATGTTCCATTTGCAGCACCTTTGTTACTGGTGAAGTGAACGGGAGAACTCAGTTTGCTTTGCAGAGTTCAGCGTTTCAGATCCCAAGCTGAATTTTGTGGATTTTGACTTGCAAAAGTCAACCTGAGTGGAGAAAACTTGATCTGGAAGTCAGGAGGTCATAGGGTAAGTCGAGACTGCAATCACAGCACCTGTGCTTGCTAAGGTCCCAGAGCAGTGAAGGCGCAGCAGTGCGGGCTAGTCCTGCGAATAATTACCCAGGCTTCCAGGTTGGCTTGTACAGCTCGCACTGACGTGCATGCTGCTGCAGTGATAGCTAATTACAGCCACCTTGGGTATGTCTACTCGAGCTGGGTGTGATTGCAGTGTAGATATGCCCTTTGTTACACAGCAGTAGAGGATTATGTGCTCCTCAAAGCTGGACAAGTTTGAGGTCAATTCTATCATCTCTATTTCATAGCATTTCTTTACTTTTTTTAAACTTAATCCTTTGCAGCGGTTTACAGCTCATTTAAAACGTTTGTTGTTGGAGGTGTGACAAAGTTCCTCCTCTACCTTGGTGGGTCCTGCGCTTATTGTCGGATTTTCTTGCCTCAGAGATTCACCATGTGGGTTGGAGAACAGCCCAGAGACCTTCCCCTCTGGGAGAACCCACAGTCCAGGTCAATTGGGAGGTTTGGGGGGAACCCGGGCCCGCCCTCTACTCTGGGTTCCAGCCCAGGGCCCTGTGGACTGCAGCTGTCTATAATGCCTCCTGTAACAGCTGCATGACAGCTACAACTCCCTGGGCTACTTCCCCATGGCCTCCTCCAAACACCTTCCTTATTCTCACCACAGGACCTTCCTCCTGGTGTCTGATAACACTTGTGCTCCTCAGTCCTCCAGCAGCACACCCTCTCACTCTCAGCTCCTTGCGCCTCTTGCTCCCAGCTCCTCACACTCCCACCACAAACTGAGCTGAGCTCCTTTTTAAAACCCAGGTGCCCTGATTAGCCTGCCTTAATTGATTCTAGAAGCTTCTTCTTAATTGGCTCCAGGTGTCCTAATTAGCCTGCCTGCCTTAACTGGTTCTAGCAGGTTCCTGATTACTCTAGTGCAGCCCCTGCTCTGGTCACTCAGGGAACAGAAAACTACTCATCCAGTGACCAGTATATTTGCCCTCTACCAGACTCCTGTACCCCACTGGTCTGGGTCTGTCACAGAGGGTAAAACACTCCCATGCCAAACAACTACACAACCAGTGTTAGGGGACAGTCATCTCAGTGCGCCGTTGCTTCTCCGGCAAGGGAGAGACTTTACCTTATCGCCTTTGTTGGTGATGCTGTTCTCCAGAGATGACACCTACACCAGATGGAGGAAAGACAGGTCACAAAGTGTTGTTGGTCCCAATTAGGAGCAGATCTGCGATGAGCAACATCATCTCTGCGAACCTTCCTTCTGGTTCTGATACACCCACTTGGCACAAGGCTCAATTAACTCACTTTCTTTCCTCCTCTAAAAATTAGCCCTTAATCTGAGGTGCACTATTTGGATCCAAGCCTTCTAGGTCTTTGGATCAGGGGCTAGAGAGCGTCTTCATCCAATTAGCGGTAGAGGTATGAGCCAGCTGTGAAGTTTGGGTCTGCAGTTGCACTTGCACAAAGCTTAAAGTGTTTAGGTCTGACCCGTTACAGAGATTGGGGCCAACAGCAAATCCAATATCCAAACTTCCCCAGAGCTCAGGGATGTTCAGATTTAGGATTTTGTTCGGGCCCCTCTCTGCTGCTGACTCCACTTTTGCCCTTGTTTAGACAGTTTAGTCGTTTGTACTGAATAAACAGTCACATGACTGCACAGTTTAGAACCCTTCCCCTTTGAATCGGAAGACGATGTACTTGGGTCACTGGGTGCGGTAGTCAGGGTGAGAGAGCCACAGGAGCTGAGCCTTCTGCCCTTCCAACAGGAGCTGGGAATGGCGAGCCTACTAGGCAACGTAGACCATACGGTGCTCCCCCCCTCCATCCCCAGTGGCGTTGCAATTTCAGAGGAGCAGGGGGAGGGATAGCTCAGTGGTTTGAGCATTGGCCTGCTAAATCCAGGGTTGTGAGTTCAACCCTTGAGGGGGCTACTTAGGGATCTGGGGCAAAAATCAGTACTTGGTCCTGCTAGCGAAGGCAGGGGGCTGGACTCAATGATCTTTTGAGGTCCCTTCCAGCTCTATGAGATAGGTATATCTCCATATATTATTATTACTTCACTAAGAGGTGCGTGAGCAGTGAGCAAATGGGAACCAAGGCTGGGGCAACCAAAGGCCTGGTGAGATAGGCAAGAACCTCCATGGCATATCCCCACAGGTACTGATTTAGTTAAGCACATGATTAACTTTAAGTCATGATTAACCATTGAAGTCAAGCATGTGCTTAAATCTCATTGACTTCAGTGGGATTAAAGGATGTACTTGAAGTTAGCCATGTGCTTTCTGGAATAAGTATGGCATTAAGCATGTACTCATATTCCTGAATCAGGTCCGGAGGACTGTTATACTCACACAAGCGCTGAATGAATTGCTGTGATGTGCTGAATGAATTGCTGTGATAGAACATCAGGGTTGGAAGGGATCTCAGGAGGTCATCTAGTCCAACCCCCTGCTCAAAGCAGGACCAATCTGCAGACAGATTTTTGCCCCAGATCCCTAAGTGACCCCCTCAAGGAATGAACTCACAACCCTGGGTTTAGCAGGCCAATGCTCAAACCACTATTCGCTGCAACACAGGGACTGCGTTCTCCACTACAGTGACTCTGGCCTCTCATAGCAGGCACTAGGTACAAACCACTACCCCTGAGTAACCTCAGTGCTGCTGCAGACTCACAGCACAGCTGCCTGCAAAGAAATGGGAGCCCCTCCCTCCTGTTGCCAGGATAACGCACCCCCTCCGCCCCAGTTCCCCTTCCCTCCCACCAGTGAGCACCTCCGGAAAAAGAGTATTACTCACGATGCTTCCAGGTGACCCGGGCGGCCCAGGCTTCCCCTGCGGAGACACAACACCCCCCAACCCCCAAAAAGGCGAGTGGTGAAAGTCAGCATGTCAGACCCCGAGCTGGACTCTCTCTCATGCAAGGTTAAAAAGGAGAATGTGCAAACCTACAGCTTCACCCTTGTCTCCCTTCTCTCTGGCGACTCCCTGGGAGGAGGAGAGAGAGGCAAGGTGAGAACCGGCCCTAGGTGGGACAGAGTCAAAGCAACTCCCCACCGCCTCAGGCCCGCTCAACGCACGCTGAGGCTCAGCATCGAACAGGCTGGAAATGCAAGTGACTCTTCCTCCGAGGTGGGCAGAGGAGATTTCGCACACTCGCGTGGTGTGCACACCAGGGGTGCCCATGGCAGAATCCTGCCTTATGTCTTGGGCTTCCGCCCAATCAGATGTTATTCAAACTGGTTCCACCCCTTCCTGCTGGGGAGCAGACCTTCAATGCCGGACCTGCCACACTACATCACATGGAGGGAGGGAGCTTGCAGTCTTTAAAACAGTAGAGTTATGGGCCTCTCTTTTGCCAGCTATAATATTGTCTCCCATGCTCCCCTTCCTTCCATCACGCCGTCGATGACTGACTTACATCCTTTCCCGGTTCTCCCATCTCGCCTTTGATCCCCTGTTCTCCGCGACGTCCCGGAAGCCCGAAAGGTCCCTGCAAAATGATTCAAAGACACAATCATGAGTGAAACAAGAGATTGATCTTCACACATACAGCCCAATGGGCGTTCCAGACCCTGTCCAGCAGCACAGGAAGTGCAGAAGACTTCACCCTAGCCACCCGCCTGAACTCTCTGTGGTTTTCATTTAGGAGGTGACTCTTTGTGAATGTGAATTCCAATGCTGCTGACCGGTGCAGGATTGAAAGCCCTAGGAGAAAGCCCTGGGCTGAGAACCACCAAACTCATTGCACAGATCTCTTTTTCCCCTCACTAATTCCCTTCTATAACTACTCGGACATGGAAACACAGTGCCTGAAGGATGCCACTGAAGCTCTGAAAGATCTCATTCTGCACCCTGGAATGAATCATTACCTGGATTCCTCTCTCTCCTGGGGCGCCTGCTTCTCCCTAAAGGAAAGGAGGACAATTTTTTTTTACAGCCTTATTAGCAGCCTCAGGTAAATGGGTGTGTCAGGCTGCCCCGGCACTTGGGACATTAATTATGCAGCACTTCTTATGCCTGCAAAAGCCAATTCAAATGGAGAGCCAGTTTTGGGGACATTTCAATAACTTGGGTTGGTCGAGCCAGGCTGAACCAAATGTGAACCTGACCTCCATGCCTCTCATCTGAATCAAAGCCCCCAACATGGGAAAACAAAAGGGTCCTTTCGGATGACTTGGGAGTCACATCGGAACAGCTTCACATTAATATTTATCAGGAGGTTCCGCGTTCTACTACAGACTACAGCAAAGAGAGCTCAATCATCTCCATGGCTATGGGAAATCACAGAATTCCCATTATGTTACCTTGGTCCCCACGTTCCCTTTCTGCCCCAGTTGTCCCTAGAACATAACACAAAGTGTCAGGTTAAAGTTCAGTTCATGACCAGTTTTGTTATTCTGAATTTCCCAGTTGAATTAAAGTGCCTGGCTTGGTTCTGATCTTACTGTTGCCAGTGTAAACCGGGAGTTAGAGTCATAGAGTCATAGACTTTAAGGTCAGAAGGGACCATTATGATCGTCTAGTCTGATCTCCTGCACAACGCAGGCCACAGACTCTCACCCACCCACTCCTGTATCAAACCCCTAACCTATGTCTGAGCTGTTGAAGTCCTCAAATAGTGGTTTAAAGACTTCAAAGTGCAGAGAATCCTCCAGCAAGTGACCCGTGCCCCACGCTGCAGAGGAAGGCGAAAAAACCCCAGGGCCTCTGCCAGTCTGCCCTGGAGGAAAATTCCTTCCCGACCCCAAATATGGCCATCAGCTAAACCCTGAGCATGTGGGCAAGACTCACCAGCCAGACACCCAGGAAAGAATTCTCTGTAGTAACTCAGATCCCACCCCATCTAACATCCCATCACAGGCCATTGGGCATATTTACCTGCTAATAGTCAAAGATCAATTAATTGCCAAAATTAATCCCATCATACCATCCCCTCCATAAACTTATCAAGCTTAGTCTTGAAGCCAGATATGTCTTTTGCCCCCACTGCTCCCCTTGGAAGGCTGTTCCAGAACTTCACTCCTCTGATGGTTAGAAACCTTCATCTAATTTCAAGTCTAAACTTCCTGATGGCCAGTTTATATCCATTTGTTCTTGTGTCCACATTGGTACTGAGCTTAAATAATTCCTCTCCCTCCCTTGTATTTATCCCTCTGATATATTTATAGAGAGCAATCATATCTCCCCTCAGCCTTCTTTTGGTTAGGCTAAACAAGCCAAGCTCTTTGAGTCTCCTTTCATAAGACAGGTTTTCCATTCCTCGGATCATTCTAGTAGCCCTTCTCTGTACCTGTTCCAGTTTGAATTCATCCTTCTTAAACATGGGAGACCAGAACTGCACACAATATTCCAGATGAGGTCCCACCAGTGCCTTGTAGAACGGTACTAACACCTCCTTATCTCTACTGGAAGTTACTCTAGTGTAACCTGAGATGAGGATCAGGGCTCTTCCCTTTAATCCTTTTCTTCATGGATCAGTACATACACGGGACGCTTGGTCTCTATTATGCCACAGGACAATGTGATAGTAACTCCAATGATGGAAAGACTCTTGGATGTGCAAACTCCTTGAACTAAAGGAGAGTGGCCATTGGCTGTCATTAGTAAAGAGTCTTATCTGAGGCCTGTAATAAAGCTCTCTTGGGTGGCTGCCTGTGTTCCCTCTAAGCTACGTGGTTGGGCGGCCGCCCAGGAGAGATTCAGGTGCCGCACACTTGATTAGCAGAGCTGCGCACATCCGGCAGCATGTGTTCAGGTGCCCCTCCCCCCGCTGCTTTGCAGCTGCTCCCAGGACCCTCCTGCTGGCTGTGCAAAGCAGGGTGGGTGGGAGGGGGTGCTGATGTCAGGGTGTCCCCTGTACCCCATCTCCACAGAGCAGGGGAGCAGGGCCAGCCTGGCTCAGAACTCGAGAGCAGGAGAGAGCGGCTGCAGTCTGAGATCTGAACCAGCCTTCCGGGTGAGTGAGTGCCTTTCTTTCTTCTGCTGCTGCTGATAGCTCGTCTCAATTGATTGGCCTCTTACAATTGGTATGCGTACTTCCACCTTTTCATGTTCTCTGTATGTATAAATATCTTCTGTCTGTGTGTTCCATTCTATGCATCTGAAGAAGTGGGCTGTAGCCCACGAAAGCTTATGTTGAAATAAATCTGTTAGTCTCTAAGGTGCCACAAGTACTCCTGTTCTTTTTGCGGATACAGACTAACACGGCTGCTACTTTGAAACCTTTCTTAAAGAGACAGCCATGGTCTCTGAGACTTCCCCAGCAGCCAGCTCACACAATCTCTGTCTCTGTCTGTCTATCTGTCTCTCTCACACACACACACATTCTGTCTCTCCCGCTCCCCCGTGCCCATGTACCCCATCTCCGCAGAGCGGGGGAGGGGAGACAGGGCTCAGGAGAGCTTTCAGTGAGTGCCTTAATCAGACAGCACACGGCGTCTCTCAGAAACTTCCCCAGCTGCCAGCACACACACTGTCTCGGTCACACACACCCACACACAGTCTCTGACACACACAAAGTCTCTATGTCAC